AAAAAAAAAAAAAAAAAAAAAAAAAAAAAAAAAAGAAAGAAAGAAATCATTTCAGAAGAGGGGGTGGGAAGACTGGAGGGGCCAGAGACCCAAGAGTTTACTATGAGATGTGTCTTCTATAAAGGTCAGAAACTACACCCATAAAATCTCACCAACATGGCTGCCTAAACATGACCCGAACCAGGATGACACCAATGGATGAGTTAGTGTGGAAGGAGAGGGAGAACTCATAAGGCCTCGACCTTCGACAAAAAAAACAAAAACAAAAACATCTATAGGCAACTTAAGAGCGATGAGAGCGGAGAAATAATTGTCCCCAGGGAAAAGCACACCAATTAGTTATACAACACAAAATGGTCAGGTCTGAAAAAAAATGTACATACAAGTAGCATTATACATACAGTCGTATGTGAAAGGTTCAGGCATTATGCTGGCCTGCCCCTGTTACCTGGTAGAATCCATTCAGGCAATACCCCGGTCAGCCCAAGGTTCCATGGGAAAGAAGTCTGCACGCAGGTGCAAAGGACCCCTTTAAAAGATAGGCCCCTGCACCTTTACACTCCCCCCTCTCTCTCTCTCTCTCTCTCTCTCTCTCTGTGCTCTCTCTGTTTCTCTGCCCCCCTCTGTTCCTCTGTCCCGCGCTCTGTGCGCTCTCTCTGTCTCTCTATGGCCACCGGCCATGGCGGTCCGCCATTTACCCCTGTTCCTCTTCTTAGTCTCCCCATTCTGTCGGGCCTTATAATAAACTTATACTCAATATGTCTGTCTCAGCAATTTCTCTTTTCTTCTTTTTAAACAAAACAATAACAGTATGGACTGAGCAAGGTGTGTGTGTGTGTGTGTGTGTGTGTGTGTGTGTGCTCGTGCACGTGAGTAAAACAAAGAAAAAAGACACCATGAATTTGAAAGAAAGAAAGAAAGTGTTGGTGGGTACATGGGAGGGTTTAGAAAGAGGAAGGGAAAGGGATGATGTAATGGTATTATGATCTTAAAAAACAAATAATAAAAAGGACTGTAGAGTTGTGGCAGGTTTGGGATTTAAATCCGTACTACACAGGATCTGTGTTCAGGGGGTTCTCTGTCTTCCCATGGTGCCTAGCTCAAGATATGGAGATGCAATGCCGATGCCTACATGACTGGTTTGCTGAAGTCAGTATTCCTCAGTAAACAGATTTGTCAACTTAGGGGTAGAAATCAGTGACAAGACAACAGGTGCCTTTGCCACTTCCCTACCTTGGCCCCTTCTACCCCCCATGCCTTCCTTCTTGTACACTCCCTAGGTAGCTGTAACGGGGGCTCCTCCGGAAGAGGGACGGGCCCTCAGGACAAACCTCGGCTGGAGAAGGGTCTGGACAGCTCCCCAAACCAACTCCCAGCCAGGCCTTGGAGTTCCTGGGCCTCTTACCCAGCACTACGATGTTTATTTTGACTGTTTCCTTTTTCTGGTTCTGGGTTACACTGCAGGTCCAGGTGCCACTGTCCTGAATCCTTAGGTTGGGCACAGAGACTTTGGAGTGTGTGGCAACTCCATTCCGTGGGCCTTTGCACTCAAATGAGGGTTTAGCGACCTTAGAGCTGCTATCCAAGCTCAGGGTCAGACTCTGTCCCTGCAGCAGGCGGGTATCCGGACTGACAGTCACTGTGGAGGAAGCAAATGACCTGCATCACACACACCTTCCCCAAGGACAAAGGAAGAAGAAAGGAAAACAACAGTGTCTCACCACTGCCCCCCCTCCCCCTGTGGTCTATGAAATGCCATCCGCTCAGGTCCAGGTTTGGAACAAGAGTGGAAGGGAGTAGGAGAGAGAGGTATCTGACCCAGAGCGACCTCACTCACCTTTGAACACCCACAACTCCACCTCTGCCATCTTCTTGTTCTCCACCTCACAGATGTAAGTGGCGGAGTCTTCCACCTTAAGTTTACTGATGACGAGAGGGAATGATCCTTTGCTCCATTCAGATGTTTTCGAGTCAAAACGGCTAAACCACTTGGACTGACCTGTGAACAGAAGCCATACCAAGGAAGCTGAGGCGCTCTGGTACCCTGGCATCCCTGCCAAGAACAGTGCCCACAAATCAGTCTGAGTTCCAGAGTCCTTACTCCACCCCTCAGGACTCCGGACTGATGGTGTATCTATTTATGTGGCAGGAACAATACCCCACTAACTCAAAAAAATATTATAAAACAACGTGTTTATTTGGAGAGCACCTGCTCTTACCGGGCGAACAGTTAACACTCACCATCTCCAGTAATCGTCACACTGATTCCAGGAAATGCATAGTTTTGCCTACCGTGCAGAGATGGACACTGTCACTGAGAGTTGGAACGATTGCTCAAACTCATACATCTTAGTGATTTGTCATGTCAGCCAGAATTATTAATGTACATTCCAAAATAAATACCTCTCCCAAAGGATGGCTAAATCTACCATAGTTCACTCTTGTGTGCTGGTGTATACCTGCAATCCCAAACAGGCCTCAGTAGGCTAAGGAAGGAGGATTGAGAGTTCAAGGCCAGTTTAGGCTATGCAGTGAGACCCTGTCTAAAAAATTAATTACTCGATGATGCTTCAGTTAGTAAAACCTTCAACTTTGATGACCTTAGTTCAATCCCCAGGACCTATATGGTAGGAGAGAACAAACCCCCACAAGTTGCCCTCTGACCACAACCTAACCCTCCATGATGATAAAACAAAACAAAAAAACGTTTGGGTTTTTTTTTTTTTTTTTTTTTTTTTTTGAAACATGCTTTCTCTGTGTTGCCTTGGCTGTCTTGGAACTCACTTTATAGACCAGGCTGGCCTCAAGCACACAAAGATCTACCTGCCTCTGCCTCCCAAGTGCTGGGATTAAAGGCGTGCGCCACCACCACCTAGCACTCAAAGTAGACTCTTTACCCATTAAGCCACCCCACCCCACCAGCCCTTAACTTCCTGATCCTTAGCAATGGTAGTGTCATCCTCTCATTGTTTTGACTTGTGAAGCAGAGTCAAACCTTTTCTCTGCTCCAACCTCTCACCAGTCTCCAGCTATGGTCACTCCTTCCTTTGACTATTTTTCTTCGGTTTCCTCCTCTTGGAGGCCCACTTGTCTGTCACAGGCACCATTGGGAGCACCCTGGGCCTTCTGTTCTTTGTCTTCCTTCTTGGATTTCTCTTTCTGCTGCTTCGGTACTGACTTCCAAAGCGATGGTTGGCGAGTGTCATCCCCTGCCTAGGGCCGAGGCTAGCAGCCTCCATGGACACGGCCCCTTTGCAACACTGCCCACAGCTCCCCAGCTGGAAACTCCACACCCAGCCATCTCTGATAGCTTGCCTTGTGCTACTACTTCCTCATGCAGTCTCCCCTTCCTGGAATGTCCTTCCCCTGCATCCAGTTTTCTCTATTTAAACTTTTTTTTTTTTCTTGCGGCTGGGGAGATGGCTAGCACATGAGAGCACTTGTGTGGCATGAGGACCTGAGTTGGAAACTCCATCAGCCATGTGAAAGGCTGCAACAGCGCCACCACTGCAACCACTGCTGTCCAGGGCAGAGGCGGGAGGATCGTGGGGGCTTGCTGCCCGAGAAACCTTGTCTTAAAGAAATTAGGTGGAAGCCAGGCGGTGGTGGCTCTCGCCTTTAATCCCAGCACTCAGGAGGCAGAGGCAGGCGGATCTCTGTGAGTTCAAGGCCAGCCTGGTCTACAGAGTGAGTGCCAGGATAGGCTCCAAAGCTACACAGAGAAACCCTGTCTCACAAAAACAAAAACAAAGACCAAAAAAAAAAAAAAAAGAAAAAGAAAAAGAAAAAGAAATAAGGTGGAGAGTAATAGAGCACAAAACTGATGCCTCCTGCTGCCTACACAGGCACGTGCACACACACACACCAAAAGGAGAGAGAGAGAGAGAGAGAGAGAGAGAGAGAGAGACAGAGAGACAGAGAGACAGAGAGACAGAAAGAGACAGAGAGACAGAAAGAGAGAGAGAGACAGAGAGAGACAGAGAGAGACAGAGAGAGACAGAGAGAGACAGAGAGAGACAGAGAGAGACAGAGAGAGACAGAGAGAGACAGAGAGAGACAGAGAGAGACAGAGAGAGACAGAGAGAGACAGAGAGAGACAGAGAGAGACAGAGAGAGAGAAAGAAAATTTTTCTTGCCATGTTAGAAACTGAGCACAGAAGCAAATGCTCTATCACTGACTTATACCCCTAGCTTGCCTATATTTTCTTTTTAAAAATAATTTTATCTATTATTGGGCTGGAGGGATGGCTCAGTGGATAAGAGTAGCTTCTGCTCTTGCAGAGGACCTGGGTTTGGTTCCCAGTGCTCATGTAGAGCTCACAACTGTCTGTAACACCAGTACTACGGGTCTGACACCCTCTTCTGGTTTCCATAGACACCAGGCACATACATAGCGCACATACATACATGCCTTCAAACACTGGTACATATAAAAGAAAAAATAATTTTTTCAAGACAGGGTTTCTCTGTGTATCTTTGGAGCCTGAGTTCAAATCCCCTGAAGCCATGTAAAGCCAACTGTGGAAGTGTAAACCTGTATGTCCAGCACTAGAGGTGACAGAGACTGGATCCTGGCCCTGCTCACCAGATTGTCTCCTTGAAATAGTGAATGAACATCAGGTTCAGTGAGAAACCCTGTCTCAAAGATAAAATGGGCCCGGCGTTGGTGGCACGCACCTTTAATCCCAGCACTCGGGAGGCAGAGGCAGGTGGATCTCTGTGAGTTCGAAGCCAGCCTGGTCTCCAGAGCTAGTTCCAGGACAGCCTCCAAAGCTACACAGAGAAACCCTGTCTCCAAAAACAAAAAACAAAACAAAACAAAAAACTAAAAAACCAAAACCAAACAAAAAAGCTAAAGTGGACAGCAACAGAGGAAGACACCCAACATCAACCTTTAGTCTCCACTCAGATACACAGGGTGAGCACCCCTACACACACACACACACAGGAAGTTAGAAAGGGAACTGTTGCTACAGAAATCAGATCACAGAAACAGAACAAAGGCATTAACACAAAAGACCAGGAATTTTTAGAAAGTGTTTTAATCTCACAGGTAAGGAAAATAAATGTAAATTAAAACAATGCCATAGTTTTAAACTATCAAATTAGAAGGAGAAAAAAAAGCTAAGAAGGTGGCTCAATGGGTGAAGTGCTTACCACAAACTCGTGAGGACCTGAGTTCAGATTCCCATGTCTATAAATCCCAGGACTCCTACACCAAGATAGGAGGCAGAGATGGCAAAATGTGAGGGAGCCCATAGGCCAGAAAGCCTGGCCTACACTGACAAACAACATTAGTCCCTGCCTCAAATAAGGTGTAGGGTGAGGACTAACACATGAGGCTGTCTCTGACCTCCACGTGTTTGTTGTGGTATGTAGGCTCCTATGCCCACAAACAAATGTACACACAGGTTCAAATAAAATGTTCAATGCTGGCCATGATGTTGGGGGCAGATGCATACAGTAATATTAACAAGAGTTAGTGTAAATAATCACCTAGAATGCGGTAAGTGCTCACCAGTCTCTTGAGTTAATATCCTTGGGCCTAGGAATGCAACTCAGTTGACAGAGTGCTTGCCTAGAATACACAAAACCTTGACATCGACCCTAGTACCAGTAAAAGTGGGCATGCCTGTAAATCGGGGACAAAAGAGAATCAGGACTTCCAGGTCATCTCTGCTACATAGTGGGTTCAAGGCCAGCCTAGGCTATAGCCTGCTTCAAAAAATAAGTAAACAAGGCTAGCAGTGTAGGATGTGGTAGGGTTCTTTCATAGCACGCTGGACAAGGATCCACGTTTGATCCTTAGCACCACAAATGGCCACACAGATTAGGCAGTATGTTGGTACATGTCCGTAATCCCAGTATTCAGAAGGTATAAGAAACAGGAGGGTCAGGAGTTCAAGGTCATCCTCAAAGTTCAAGGTCATCCTCAGCTACACAGCTGAATTCTAGGCCAGCCTGGGCTACAAGAGACACTGTGTCTAAATAAGTAAATAAAGTTTGAGCAACCTTTAGTTTATAAAACACTATCTTAGAAATGATCATTTTAGCTGGGTGTGGCTTTAATCTCAGGAAACTGAGGCAAGCAGATATTTGTGAGTTCAAGGCCAGCCTGGTCTATGTAGCAAGTTCCAGGACAAACAGGGCTACAAAGAGAAACCCTGTCTCAAAAACAGCAACAAAATGATTTCAGGGCTCAGCAGGTAAAAGTGCAAGCCTCACTACCCAAGTTCAATTCCTGAAACCTACAGGAAGAAGAGACCAGGTTCCCAAAAGTTAGTTGTCCTCCGACCTCAACACACGAGCAGTGACTCTCACAACATCCGGCTACACAAATACACACACATACACACTGATGCTAATAACAAATAAGCATTTAAAAAATAATGCTTTTTAAATGCAAACCAAAATCTAGGTACAGAAATCATAATCAGCTGGGTGTGGTGGTGCACTCCTGGAATCCCAGCAAATGGAAGGCTGGGCAGGAGCATCACAAGTTCAAGGCCAGCCTCGGCTACATTGGGACATTGGGCGGTGGAGGTTAGTAGGACCATATGGTACGACCTTATCTTGAAATAAAAATCACAATTATAATATTATTAAATATCATGCTATGTCAGGTAAAACCCGTAATAGCATCAGGAATAGCTCATGCCTATATTTCTAGCATTTGAGAGCCCGAGGCAGGTGAATTACAGTAGGTTCAAAGGCAGCTTGGGCTACCAAATGAGACCTTGTCTTAAAAAATGGAAAATGATAATAGTTATTGTCCTAGTTCTATTGCTGTGAAGGGACACCATGACCATAGCTACTCTTTTTTGTTTTGTTTTGTTTTCGAGACAGGGTTTCTCTGTAGCTTTGAAGTCTGTTCTGGCACTCGCTCTGTAGACCAGGCTGGCTTTGAACTCACAGAGATCCACTTGCCTCTGCCTGTCAAGTGCTGGGATTAAAGGCGTGGGCCACCACTGTCCAGCCAGACCATAGCAACTCTCATAAAAGAAAGCATTTAATTAGGACTTTGCTTACAGTTTCAGGGACTTAGTCCCTT